CATAATACTTAAGAGATTAATATCATCTTAATCTTTGCTCGTTGTTTCCGCAAACAGGGTAAAACATTCCTTATAATTACTGAAATCAGCTTAAATCGTAATCAGATTATAAAGATTAACTTAACAGCGAAAGTACTTCATCCCCATGTAATTTCTTCCTATTAAAAAGAAACTAGAGAAGAGTAAATTTTTTATTTCTCTAACGTTTCACAGAATATTTTCAACGAAGACCATCAACCGTTCACATTTTACTTAAGTAATAAATTATTGAAAATTTAACACCTATTTTCTTTTTATTCTATTCTTTGCAAATAAAAATTTTCGACGATAGAACCACAATGGGTTTCGAACTCATAAAACGTCGTATGATAACGTTTTAAACTTCGACGTTCGACGTTCTGAAAGATACGCGATAGTACTAGCAGCAATAAAGAAAACGCTGATTCAGTGTTCGTCACTGACCACCGTTCCCCGTAGCTTGGGATAGGTCAATGAAACGTGTGAGTGAAAGATTCAATTACACCGTGGAAAAAGTGTAACGTGAAAAAGTTACCGGTGTACGATTACCTTGTTAAAAAAAAATGTTCCGATAAGATAAATTCTGTCAAATTGAATAAATTACGACAAAGTGGCTTTTATCGTCGATTCTTCCGTCACGTAATAAGATAACAAGCGTACTTCCTTTTTCTGATTGCTCTCTTCTTTTCAAAGCTTTTTTCAAGTCAACCTCAATGCCACGAAAAAGCATTGCCAGGTACTTTCCGAGGATTCGCGATCTTATTACAACAGATCCGCTTATATGCCGTGCATCGTGTTCGAAAATCGATATAGAAATTGATACGACAACGGGAAACGATACCGGAAATTGAAAAACTCTCGCAGAAACGATGCACCGTGAAACCGGAAAATTATTTGGGACCTTCTTTCGAAGTACATCGAACCACTTCGACGAGCAAAATCGTATTTAAGGGAATCTAATCCGGCGCCGTTTCAACATTTTGCTCAGCTCTAAACTGTGTCCGAGAGTAAAAGCCACGGTTGCGTATACAAATGCAGTTTTATTCATTGACCGAAACGAGAGATTAACGCACCTCGTATAAAATAGGATAAAAATCATAGTATGTTATATTTAAATAAAAATCAATTTTTAACAGAAGAGCGTTGAACGTATTTTTTAATATTTAATTTTCAATTTTCACAGAAAAGTAATTTTTCTTCAACGATGAAAATTACATTATTTATTCAAACGAGACAGGAACCATTTTTCTGAAACACCTGAACTTTTTTGTAACGTGAATTTTTAGACATCGTGTTAACTTTTGCGAAAAATGATGTATTTGAAAAACGATAATATTTTTCATTCGAGAATTTCATATTTTGGTTAACAAGTTAATTGCAAATTTTAATTTAAAAGCTGCCAGTGTTCCTTTTATACATCGAAAATAAACGTTGAAGGAAATAATTAATTAGCACAATATTTAAGCAAGATGCAAATAAAATATGAAATGATATAACGTTGAAATAATTAACAGAATGTGCATTTCACAGATTCTCCACGTGAGAACAAACTTCTAGGTTCTGACCCTCTTGGGTACCACTTATTCCAAACTTTTCTACCTGTCTACAAACACTCTCGATGTCCTGTGGGCATTTCCCGACGTTGATGTACGTGGTTGTTCATTGTACACTCACCGCTATAAATGATATAAAATTCCGAGCATTTATTTAAAATAAATAACCATTTTAATTCCGTGTCATGCTTCGTTTTACGTGCACACAATATTTCAATAATTCATCGAAATATTTTCAAGTTTGCATTAAAATCTTGAACGCCATTCGATAGGGTATCTGATGGATATTTAATAGCATTTGCAGGAACAGGTATTTCATTCAAATGAATGCAGTTGCCGTTTTCCGTTTGTTGACGCTTCCATTAGTTTATTTTTCATTTTCCAGTAATAATCTTTCAATGATACGATCGATGGACACCATTTCCAGAGCAATAAATGCCACGGAAACAAACGTTTCTGTCAGGATATTTCTTTTAAATGGAATTGTTCCACCGTGGATTCACTTTTAAATATTAAAATTCCCGAACCATTTATAACCTTTTAAAAAATAAATTCGCTGAAATTTTTATATCCACTCTCCTCGACGCGATCGTACATTTTTATTCGTCGTTAATTTCACATTAAAAGACCTTTTTTTCAAACTGCTTTCATCAGAGTCTCTCTCTTTTTTTTCTCTTTTATTATTATTATAACCCTTAACGGTTTGTGTGTGTGTGTGTGTGTGTACGAATAAAACTTGCAGGACTAACCCAAGCTCTTAAAAAGTAGATTTTTCATTTCGACGATTCACGATATCGCCTTCCATTTCGTAGTTCCAACTGCTTTGCATAGCCGTTTGTGAACTTTTCTTGAATACTTAACCAACAGGACTTACGAGATCCCCGGAGTAACGTTATAGCCCAGAGTTTAGTGCGTACCACTCTTATGGCTGACTAGCACCGTCTGTTTCTACTGGCATTTGTCTGTGGTGCCTCGTTGAGTTACAAATATTCACGAAATTCTAATTTTAATTGCTTATTTAGCATACGAAAAAATCCCTTTAAAAATAGGGAATACGCGAATAAACTCATTTATTACCAAACAATTAAAAATTTCATAGAGTCAACAAGAGGTACGATGAAAATTAAAACGAAAGATAAGAATTTTTATTTTCCCAACAGTAAAACAATCCTATATATTTTTACTTCTCTTACTGGTACTTTTAATTCCGTGGTCTCGCAACCTGTACTACCGTTCCTTATGCATGAAAATTATAAATCTTTTTGTTTTCTGTTAACTTTCACAGTTGCGACACTGCTGTGCTATGCTACATACAGGTGCAAGTTTAGCTGCATTGCTGGACACGTAGATCTACGTGCTTCAACCTTTGAATATTAATGTCTAAACGGAGTCGTGACTCTAGGGAGATGTTTCTCCGTTATAATTTTCAGTCTTTTACCAACATACCGAACGGTTTATTATTATCAGCAACTTATTCGCGAGTTTGCCAATCTTTGTGGCCAATTATTACGTTTGCCAATTATTTCTGTTTGCCAATTATTACGTGGCAAGAAATTGTTCGAATGTTAAATATTTTCACGAGGAAAGAACGAGGGGCAAATACTTTGACGTATTATATCATGTCTTAATGATCTCGTTGAGCATGGTTGAAGTATCAGAAGAATTCATTTCGTTGAAATTATTCAGAAATATCTTCGCAACTGATTGTAAGCCTTTCAAGATCGTCCCGTTCACTGTCAAAAGAGCTTTCCTTCCACCGAGGAAGACAACGGAATGGCATTTAACTCATAATACTCGCAAAGCGTTTTGCCATTTCACTTAGCTATCTCACAATGGTATGAGACAGAATTAAATATATACTTTACGTGTGCTGCGCCACAATGAAACACTATTTCTTATGTTGCTTGATAAGAACAATTTATTTTAATTGTACCGCTTCATAATCTCATTTCATCTTAATCCTTTCTCTACCCGACTATTATTATTATTATTATTTGAACTTTAAAATATTGTCATTTAGATTTACAGTTATTCTGAGCTTTATCCACGATTAAAGTAACTTTATCTCCCTCTATTTTATTCTATTAATTATTATTCTAATCATTCCGAGCTTTATTCCTGATTGAAGTAACTTTCTTCTCGTTCACTTCATTATTTTACCTTTGAAATATTGTTATCTCAATTTCCGGACGATAAACTGACACTTTTTCCCAAAGCCAGGGTTCCCGACGTTTTTTCAAATACGAAACAATATTTCTCGCGAAGCAGATATAAATTATCGCTTATTCCTGTTGCAAACGCTTCTTTATCCTGTTCTTTATCCATTTACCACCGGCCCGGATTTTCCCTTCGTGGAGACGAGGGCAGAAAGCATTTAACCGGTAATATTCGCGAAGCGTTCTGTGATTCCGGCTCTCTCGATAGGAATGGGACCTGGTCTGAAGGAGGCGAGTACAGTGGGTCGGAAATGACTCGTTACCGGGGGCACCGGAAACCGCTCTCCTTCTGCTGCCGCCATCACTCGGTCTCCAGTAGTTCCACGCCTACCGGGAACGATGCCCTCTAGCTATGCCAGCAGATAAAGAAGAAAAAAACGAAGAAGAAGGGAAAGAAATAGAACTACTCTAGGGTGGGGGCTTCATCCTCATCCAACTACCGGATAACTTCTTATCGCGGTCGAAGAAACTCGAATTTTGTGGGCTGAGAGAGAGAGAGAGAGAGAGAGAGAGAGGAAGAAAAACGAGAGAGAGAAAGAAAATTGCTTATAGAACATAGGCGATTTACTAGAGATAGCCACTTGTTTCGCTTGTTCCATTTAGACCAGCAGCTGATTTCGGTGTTTCAATTTTTTTTACGGTACTTTTTGCGAATATTTTCCATTACTTCTGTAATTATTTCAATGGAAGCATTGAAATTAACGAGATTACGCTGCTTTTATGACGTAATACCAGAAGGAACCGTGCTTCTCCTCGAAACCTTGCAAGAAGGATTTACGATGCAATTTCACCTCATAAATTCTGTTAATCTTGGAATCTTCGTTACGCCTCAGCACGCAATTTTGCAACTTGTTGCGAAAGTCAGTCAAATCTGGTTGTTTCTTGGTACTTAAAAGAGTACCGCGCGTTTATCATTACTTCCTTTCGCTAAAGTGATCACACCTTGGCTAGGTGGATTGCGATATTAACGCTCTTTTATATTTTTCATCGTGAAGCTATTTGAATTTCTAATAACGTATTAAGATATTCCATTCCGTTTGTTTCTAAAATAAATCCTACGTTATCCAGGATTATTCGTCTCGTGTGAGAAAGAGGTACCGGAAACGAGGGAAGCTTTCCGATTTTTATTTAAAGCCCGTATATACACGTGACTGGAAATTCGTTAAAAATAAATTGGATATCATTGTTATCGAGTACAAAGGGTCGCGGACTGAATTCGACGACGTTAAAACTCTGGCCCTGTAACAAATGTTTCCGGGCATTTAATAGAGTAATCATGCCAGGATAGTGTCGTGGTAACGTATCCAGGTAGCCTGACCCGTTTGTACCAATTAGCCAGGCTGATGTTAAATAATGTCACGCCGGGGAAACGGGCCAGACAACGTACCGACTTCTCCCTTCGCAGTTGTAAATTGGATGATCCTATTTCGTTGTAAACTTCATCTCCAATTAGGGTCTCATGTGGCTCGCTGCGAGTTCCCGTCCCTTCTTTAAAGAACCATCAGAAAATCGAAACGTTGGTCGAGAGGAAACATGAAACGCTCGTCGTTTCTTTTCCATTCACAAACTCCGGCGATTTGAGAAATGAAAATTCTTTTAATTAAAATGCTCACGATACGTTTTCCAATTATACTCGCAGATTGAAAAAGTTTCCTCTCATCGGGAACTTGTTGTATCCTCCTCGTTCTCGCTTATCTCAGATTTGATAATCATCCCTCGCACGTCGACCAGCGATAGAAATCGCCGTAAACGATTCTCGAACGCGCGAAACACTTGTAAAACGAACGTCATCTTCGAAGTTTCGCTAATTTGAATTTATTTCACGGTCGAAAATAATTTTCCGAAATTTTCCTACGTCTGTTCCAGCTTGAAACGTGTAAGTTTGCAACCAGACGAAATATTTGCATAAATTATGTCTTGACTTTGCATTGGTATCTGTGTAACGAGGTAACGAGTGACGATTATAATTGCGTACGCGGGAAATTTAATGCCCGCAAATTCTGTCATTATCATATGAAAATTTAATTAAAGGGCATAGTAAT